CGCTCTCTGCAGGATGGAGGAAACTGGGGGACCAGCAGCGGCGGCGGAAGCAGACACATCATACAGCAGCCTAACCCAGGTAAAGGGGGGTAGAGTGGTGCCCTCTATCCTTACAGTGGGTTCTTTTTGGGTTTTTACTTTGGTTTTGTTGCCTTCCCTGGTACGGAAGCCTGCTGCTGTGGCACAGAGGTGACTCCACTCTGCTCCACAGCTCAGGGGGATGACTTATGAGTTTTTTGGGCTAAGTCTCTCCCCTCTTCTCTCTCTCTCACTCCCTCACCCTTTCTCGCACCTTGACAGTGGTTTCTTGAAGGTGGGCTAAGGAGGATCCGGCTAGATGGGAGCCTGATGTAGTTTCTGTTGCCCTGCTTCTTTTCTGTTTTTCATTCAGGGCCACGGACAAGACAAAGGGGTCTCGCCAATTAAAAGAAAGTGTCTGTCTTGTAGGAATCCCCTGAGAGATTCATGGACGAAACCACTCTGTAAAGCATGTGTGGTGGATTTAATAAAGGAAGAATCTTCGCAGCAATGCAATGACATGTTTGCGGCTGTCAAAAAGGAATTGTTGGAGACCCTGGGATTGGTCCGATCTTTGCTGGATAAACTGCTGTCGCTTCACCCGCCTTTGCAACAGAGCACCTCGGCCGTCCTTTTCAGGCCAGAAGGATATCAGTGACTCCGATGAAGAGAGAGTGTCCTTCCATCCCTCAGAGATTCGGAAGAAGAGGATGGTGAGGAGCAGGTTGCGAGCTTGTCCAGATACAAACTTTCATTGGAGGAGGTGGACGACCTGCTGAAAGCAATATATACAACACTGGAGATCTAGGAGGAGAATGTCCAGCTGTCAGTCCACGATGAAATGTACCAAGGCCTTGGACAGGTTAACATAGTCTTCTCGGTCCATCGGGTTTTATCAGACTCTGTAAATAAAGAATGGAAGGATCCAGAAAGGGACTCCTTTTTCTCCAAATTCCTAAGAAGAAGGTTTTGCTTTGAGGAAGATGAGCCCCTGGTGTGGAACAAGAAACTGAGGTTGGATGCAGCCTTCTCGCAGGTTTCAAGACGCACGAACTTGGCTTTTGAGGATATGGGCACTCTAAAGGATGCAATGGATAAGAGGGCAGACTTTCTCCTTAAAGTGTGGGACTTTTCTCTGACCAACCTCAAGCCAGCTATGGCCTCCACGGTGGTGGCAAGGAATTTGGAGTGCTAGTTAGAACAGCTCAGGGATCATGTCGAGGCAGGGACCTCCAGGAGGGAACTTTTGGAGTTGTTCTCGGCCCTTCTAATACTCCTGAAGTATATGGCTGACGCATCGGCTGAATCCATCAGAATGACGGCCAGGTCTTTGGCGTTGATCAACTTGGCTAGGAGAGCCATCTGGCTCAAGATCTGGTCAGGAGACTCCGCTTCCAAGATGAAGTTATGCGGAATCCCCCTTTCTGGGGATCTGCTCTTCGGCCCAGATCTGGAGTCAGTGCTGGATTGAACGGCGAATAAGAAAAAGGGCTTTGCCATCGAAAAGTAAGAAGCAACCGGTCAGAAAGAATTTTTGTCCTTTTTTCACAAACCCGAAGAAGTAAGGAACAGACCCAGAAAAGAAGTTGGAGTTTCCAGAGAAACAGGGGTAAAGGAGGAGTACTCTTAAGACCCCCAGAGCGGCCGTCCAAGAGCCAATGACATCTTTCCTCCAGTGGGAGGGAGGCTTCGGGCCTTCTCACTGTGGGAGGAAGCAACAACAAGTTCTTTGTCAGATATATCGTGTCTCAGGGGTACGACCTGGAGTTCTCCCGGACATCACCAACCAGATTTTGTGTGACCAGTCTCCCAAAGGGTGCAATGCAACCTGTTAATGTCGGTCAGAATGGCCATGTCAGTCCTGGGACTACTTACTGCCACTATCCCAGCGGTTCAGTGGGCCAGATTCCATTCCTGCCCCCTGCGAAAGTGGACATCTGCTGGACACACTTATAAGGATCACGCCAAAGGTAAAGAGGGCACTTTGGTGGCGAGATCCATCCAATTTAGAGAGGGGTCTGTCATGGTCATTTCCAAAGGCCAAACACTTAATGACAGAGGCGAGTGGGGAGCCTGCTTCGGAGATCGTCGGCACAGGGCCCGTGATCCAATGCTGAGGCCAGGAAGTCCTCCAACTGGAGGGAATTGAAAGCCATCCAGCTGGGTCTTCTTTTCTTTCATCAGTCGGTGAAAGGGCAGCACATTCAGGTTCTATCGGACAATACAACAGCGGTAGCTTACATTTCAAGGCAGGGGGGCACAAGGAGCAGGGGTCTTTTGGAGTTGACCATAGAAATCCTGTCTTGGGCAGAAAAGAGTTTGGCCTCGCTCTCAGCCATTCACTTAAAAGGCTTTCAGAATCGGCTGGTGGATTTCCTGAGCAGAAGAAAAGTAGTAGAATCCGAGTGGGGATTGAACCAGGGAGTGTTCCAGCTGATCACAGAAGCTTGGGGTGTTCCTCAAGATGACCTGTTTGCAAGCCACCTAAACACAAAGGCAGGTGTTTTTTTCCCTTCACAGGGAAGACCAGGCTCTGGGCCTGGACGCATTAGCTCATCCCTGGAATTACCCTCTGTCCTACGCGTTTTTCCCCCCCCCCCCCTTCAGCTCATTCCTCTAGTACTTTGAAAGTTCAAGCAGGAAACAACAAGCTTCATTCTGATGGCACCCTACTGGCCAAAAAGGTCTTGGTTCTCGACGCTTCAGAACCTGTCCTCCAGACCCCCCTGGAAATTGCTGGCCAGAAAGGATTTGCTAGTCCAGGGGCCAGTGCTGCATCCAGAAGTAGACCGATTCAACCTACAGTATGGTTCTTGAAGAAGAACTCCTAAGAAGAAAGGGGCTATCGGAGAAGCTTATTGCCACCTTGCTCTCAAGCAGGAAAGAGGTGACTAGAGCGATGTATCTATCTGAAAGTATGGTGAAGGAATAATACCTGGTGTTCAGAGAAGGGTTTCCAGGTGAACAGAGTCCTGGAATTTCTCCATGAAGAAATGGGGGATGGGCCTAGCTGCAATCATCCTTAAAGCTCAAGTAGCAGCTTTATCTGCTTTCCTGGAGAGGAGGTTATCCCAGGAGGTGCTAATTACTAGCTTTTGTAAAGCTTTGGCCAGGACCAGGCCAGTTTTAGTTAGTTTTTCTGAACTGGGATCTTTCTTTAGTTTTACGGGGCTTCACAAAAAAACCGTTTGAGCCTCTAGAGGAGGCGTTGGTGCGAAATTTTAGTTAAAAAAAAAAAGGTTTTTCTAATCGCCACTAAATCAGCTCAAAGGATTAGTAAGATCCAGGTTCTGCCAATTTCTGGACCTTTTTTAGTTATTTTTCCGGACCAGGTGGTCCTTAGAACGGATCCGGGCTTTCTCCTGAAGATCTCCTAATCCTTTCATCATATACAGGAAATAGTATTGCACACCTTCTGCACAGCTCCAGCTAATCCGGGGGAAGAGGCGTTCCATATGATAGACGAGAGAAGATGTCTGTTGAGATTTTTGGAAGTGTCAAAAGGGTTTAGGAAGTCGAACTGCTTATTTACACTCTTTACGGGAAACTGCAAGGGTGAGAAAGCATCCAAGAGTACTCTGGGCAGATGGCTCAGACAGGCCATCAAAGAAACCTACGGGGCACAAAACAAAGTACCTCGCGGAAAGAGCCGAAGATGTCGGCTCGGTCGTGATCAGCTGTGGCCTATCACAGCTGATCGCATGTAAATAGGGAAATGCTGGTTATCGGCATTTCTCTCCTCACGAGCTGTCAAGCTGACAGCTTGAGAGGAGAGCAGAGCCGGTAATCGGCATTCCTTGTAGGGGACATGTGCACTGATCATCAGGGCACTGATGATCTGTGTAACCCCAGCAGTGCCACCTGTCAGTGTCCATCAGTGCCAGCTGTCAGTGCTCATTCATGCCACCTGCCAGTGCCCATCATTGGCAGATCAATGCCACATATCAGTGCCTACCATTGCACATCATTGCCACATATCAGTGCCCATCTGAGCTGCCTGTCAGTGCCACCTATCAGTGCTGCCTCAGTACCACCTATCAGTGCCAGTCAATGCCGCCTATCAGTGCCATATATGAGTGCTGGCCTTCAGTGCCCATCAGTGATGCCTGTCAATGCCCATCAGTGCCACCTACCAGTGCCTCCTCATCAGTGCCACCTATCAGTGTCCAGTGCAGCCTATCAGTGCCCATCACTGCAGCCTCATTAGCTCACATCAGTGAAGGAGAAAAATCACTTATTTACAAAATTTTATAACTAAAACTAAGAAAAAACTTTTTTTTTTTTTCAAAATTTTCAGTGGTTTTTGGTTTGTTTAAGAAAAATTTAAAAACCCAGAGGTGATTAAATACCACCAAAAGAAAGCTCTATCTGTCTCAAAAAAATGATAAAATTTTCATATGGGTACAGTGTTGCATGACCGCGCAATTGTCATTCAAAGTGTTACAGCACTGAAAGCTGGAAATTGGCCTGTGCAGGAAGGGGGTATAAGTGCTGCGTAGGCTAGTGGTTAATGGTAGTTTAAGGCTACTTTCACAGTAATCTGCAGCAAAAAAGCGTATGTGTTTTTTTTTTTGCAGCTTTTTACCACATTTGCGGTGCGTTCTTTCAAGGACACGAGATTCAAACCCATCAAAAACACACCTGCGTTGGGGTTTTCCATTGATTGTAATGGGGAGGTGCGTTTTTGGTGCTTTTTTTTTTTTTTTTTTACTGCACCAAACTTGCACCAAAAAATGTAGCAATGAGGATTTTAAAAAACACACCAGACCCACAACTGATCAGTGTGAAGAGTTCCATAGGATTACATGCTCACACGTTTTTCTTCTGCTTTTTTTAATTCAAAAGCAGAAGAAAAACAGATCAGTTTGAAAGCAGTCTAAATTAGGTGTCATGTCTATTGCTAGTTTGCAATAAGTATCTATTTTTTAAACAGCTTTTTCACTTCTGTAATGTTTACTTTGTTAAACTATTGCTTTCTACAGGCTCCATCATGGGCATTTCTGCTTTGTGCCTTTGGTCTTTTTGTTTACCAGTCACTGGATGCCATTGATGGAAAACAAGCACGAAGAACAAACAGTAGCTCCCCGTTAGGAGAACTATTTGACCACGGCTGTGACTCAATATCTATAGGTAAGGCAATGTTCTCATGAAGTGGTTTTTGATTGCTGTTTTTTTAACCCTTCCTTTATGTAAAAAAATTATTGTCCAGGTGTGTAGATGCAGGTAAGAGGAGGTATAGTGTCCTTGGCAATACTTCACATCTGGTGATTTCCTGTGGAGAGAATAGAGGATATGCTGAATGCAATGTAGTAGAGTCTCAGATCTAATCTAATGCAGCAAACTCAAGTCAAAATGATTTTTCAGTTTGGGTTTGAGTGGGGAAGGGTTACAATCTCTGTCAACAATTTTTTGCTATTTGGGTAATTTTCCCTGTTTTTCTGATGAGTGTCAGGCGCAACAGGAAGTAAGGGAAAATTCCTGCGCAAAGACACGGAGAGCAAAGAAAACACAGTGGGGACATTTTTGGACTCCACAGTTCCTTTTCACGATACAATAGGAAGTGAGGAAAAGACCGAGTTTTAAATAGTTGACAGATTCTAATCCTTCCCACTTTATCTAAAACTAAATCAAAGTTTTGGCTTTAAAGTCACACTGTTGCTTTGCCTTTTCAGGTTAAAGTGGCAATGTCTACTGATAGCCTATTCTCTTGGTAAATTATTCTAACTGACTTGTGCTCATTCACTTCCTCCCAGTTCCATTGCTGTAACAGAGTGAAGCTTCTGGGTAAGGGGGAAGAATGTGACCTCCCTGATGTCAGTGCTTGGGCCTGAGCAACCGTTCTCCAGGCCCGAACACTGTCACTCTGAAAGGAAAGCTTATCCAGGTTGGACTTCTACAGCATGGAGTAGTAGGGGGCAAGGATAGATGAGTAAACTTTGCTAGGGGTTGAGTTATCAGACGACCCTGTCACTCTGCCCTGAATGGGCAAACTGATAATGTCTCTTTAACCTAAGTGTTTTTGTGCAGCTCTTATTTGAGATTATTGTTCATGGGAGAAAAGGCAGTGATCTGCTAATAATGGTTTGGTGCCAGATACCACAGCGTACCTTCAAAGGGTCTCGTGGTGTCCATGCTGTGATGGGTCAGGGCTGTTTTGGCAGGAAAAACTCTATATTAGCTGGGTCATGTTATGGCTGATCACTATATTTATATTTAATACTTAAAAATGCTGTTTTTTTAATGGGCACACTGACGTAGAAGAGTTATGTTTTCAATATTTATATATAAATTGAACTAATAAGTTGAACTGCAAGTATGAACCTAATTTGCATATTTCCATTGATCTAGCTTGGACCCATGTAGTTATGGATATTTCATACCTTAGGGACTGCTGTGGAAGCCAACAATCCACTGTAGCAATCAGAGATATTACAATGATTACCACAATCTACTGGGTCCTGTGCCTGCAGCTGTCCCACTGTATACAGACGACAGGGGGTTGCTTGCTTGACACCACTGCCATTCACAGAACAGTCAAGGCATTATTTTATTGGACGAGGTGGAGATTGTGCCGTCACTGCCTCTTTTCCACCTAGTCCAATCCATTTATTAAAAGAATAGAAGGCATTCTGTTAATTGTGGCAGTGTGAAGCGTACAACCGCCAGTGGTCACTATGCAGGAAGGAAATTGCAGGCATAGGACCCGGAAGATTGCGGCTATCACGCTAGTAGCATCGACTAATACAGTGATTGTCAACTTCCACAATAGTCCCTCAGGTATGAGAGATGCATGCTATGCCTATGCAAGCTGGACCATTGCAATAAAAATCATACCTGGAGTTCAGCTTTAAGTTACATTTACATTTTAGGTCCATATATATTTGGGCACAGGCACAATTTTCATACTTTTGTTTCTGTATGCCACCAGAATAAATTAAAACAAAACAATCCAAATGAATTTGAAGTGCAGAATTTCAGCTTTAATTCAAGGGGTTGAACATAAATCTGTACAAATTTTAGGAACTAGAACCATTTTTATACACCGTCCCTCCATTTTGGGGGGTTCAAATGTAATTGGACAAATGAATATAATCATAAATAAAATATTTTATATTTTAATATTTTGTTGAGAATCCTTTACTGGCAATGACTGCCTGAAGTCTGGAACCCATGGACATTACCAAAGACTGGGTTTCCTCCTTTCTGATGCTTTGCCAGGCTCTAACTGCAGCTGTCTTCAGAGGTTCTTTGTTTGTGGGTCTTTCTGCCTTTTAGTTTTGCCTTCAGCAAGTGAAATGCATGCTCAATTGGGTTGAGATCAGGTGACTGACTCGGCCATTGCAGAATATTCCACTTCTTTTCCTTCAAAAGCTACTGGGTTGCTTTTACAGTGTGTTTTGGATCATTTTCCATCTGTACTGTGAAGCGCCGTCCAATCCGCTTTGCTACATTTGGCTGAATCTGGGCTGACAGTATACCTCTAAACACCGCAGAATTCATCCAGGTGCTTCTGTCACATCATCAGTAAACACCAATGACCCAGTGCCACTAGAAGCCATGCATGCCTATGCCATCACACTGCCTCCACCATGTTTTACAGATGATGTTGTGTGCTTTGGATCATGAGCTTTTCCAAGCCTTCTCCACACTTTTTTCTTCCTGTCATTCTGGTACAGATTAAGCTTAGTTTCATCCGTCCAAAGAATGCTTTTCCAGAACTAGTCTGGCTTTTTTTTAGATGTTTTTTGGCAAAGTCTAATCTGGCTTTTCTATTCTTCAGGCTTATGAATGGTTTGCACCTTGTGGTGAACCCTCTGTATTTGCTCTTGTGAAGTCTCCTCTTGATTGTAGATATGACAGTGATACGCCCACCTCCTGGAGAGTGTCCTTCCCTTGTCTGGATGTTGTGAATGGGTTTTTCTTTACCATAGAGAGGATCCTGTGATCATCCACCACTGTTGTCTTCTGTGGACATCCATGCCTTTTTATGTTGCTGAGCTCACCAGTGTGTTCTTCTTTCCTTAGAATGCACCAAACTGTTGATTTGGCCACTTCTAATGTTGCTGCTATCTCTCTGATGGATTTGTTTCATTTTTGAATCCTTACAATGGCCTGTTTCACTTGCATGAACAGCTCCTTTGAATGCATGATGTAGGGTCACAGCAATAGATTCCAAATGCAAATACCACACTGAGAATCAACTCCAGACCTTTTACCTACTTAATCGATAAAGAAATAACAAAGGAGTAGCCCACACCTGGCCATGAAACCGCTTTTGATTCAACTGTCCAATTACTTTTTGGTCCCTTGAAAAAGGGAGGGATGGCTAAAAGAGTTGTAATTCCTAAACCCTTCCTCCAATTTGGATGTACATATCCTCCAAATTAAACCTGAGAGTGTGCACTTTTAGCCTATATCCATTATATAACTACAGTCATGGCCGAAATTGTTGGCACCCTTGATATTTCTCCAGGAAATCATGTATTTCTCACGAAACGTATTGCATTAACACATGTTTTGCTATACACATGTTTATTCCCTTTGTGTGTATTGGGACAAAACAAAAAAAGGGAGGAAAGAAAGCAAATTCGACATAATGTCACACAAACCTCCAAAAATGGGCTGGACAAAAGTATTGGCACCCTTTCACAACTGCGGATAAATAAGAATGTTACAAGCATGTGATGCTCCTGTAAACTCACCTGGGGCAAGTAACAGGTGTGGGCAATATAGAAATCACACCTGAAAGCAGATAAAAAGGAGAGACGTTCACTTAACCTTTGCATTGTGTGTCTGTCTGTGCCACACTAAGCATGGACAACAGAAAGAGGAGACGAGAACTGTCTGAGGACCTGAGAACCAAAATTGTGGCAAAATATCAACAATCTCAAGGTTACAAGTCCATCTCCAGAGAACTAGATTTGCCTTTGTCCACAGTGCGCAACATTATCAAGAAGTTTGCAACCCATGGCACTGTAGCTAATCTCCCTGGTCGTGGACGGATGAGGAAAATTGATGAAAGATTGCAACGCAGAATAGTCCGGATGGTGGATAAGCAGCCCCAAACATGTTCCAAAGACATTCAAGCTGTCCTGCAGGCTCAGGGAGCATCAGTGTCAGCGCGAACTATCCGTCGACATTTAAATGAAATGAAACGCTATGGCAGGAGACCCAGGAGGACCCCACTGCTGACACAGAGACATAAAAAAGCAAGACTACAGTTTGCCAAAATGTACTTGAGTAAGCCAAAAGCCTTCTGGGAAAACGTCTTGTGGACAGATGAGACCAAGATAGAGCTTTTCGGTAAAGCACATCATTCTACTGTTTACCGAAAACGGAATGAGGCCTACAAAGAACAAAACACAGTACCTACGGTAAAATATGGTGGAGGTTCAATGATGTTTTGGGGTTGTTTTGCTGCCTCTGGCACTGGGTGCCTTGACTGTGTGCAAGGCATCATGAAATCTGAGGATTACCAAAGGATTTTGGGTCGCACTGTAGGGCCCAGTGTCAGAAAGCTGGGTTTGCGTCCAAGATCCTGGGTCTTCCAGCAGGACAATGACCCCAAACATACGTCAAAAAGCACTCAGAAATGGATGGCAAAGAAGCGCTGGAGAGTTCTGAAGTGGCCAGCAATGAGCCCAGATCTAAATCCCATTGAACACCTGTGGAGAGATCTTAAAATTGCTGTTGGGAAAAGGTGTCCTTCCAATAAGAGAGACCTGGAGCTGTTTGCAAAGGAAGAGTGGTCCAAAATTCCGGGTGAGAGGTGTCAGAAGCTTATTGATGGTTATAGGAAGCGACTGATTTCAGTTATGTTTTCCAAAGGGTGTGCAACCAAATATTAAGTTAAGGGTGCCAATACTTTTGTCCAGCCCATTTTTGGGGTTTTGTGTGACATTATGTCATATTTGCTTTTCTGCCTCTGTTTTATATTTGTTCCAATACATACAAAGGGAATAAACATGTGTATAGCAAAACATGTGTTAATGCAATACCTTTTTTGTGTGAAATACTTGATTTTCAGGAAAAATATCAAGGGTGCCAACAATTTCGGCCATGACTGTATACCTTGAATATGTTTTGGTAAATACCTGAAAAAAAAACTAAAATTGTGCCTGTGTCTAAATATATATGGACCTAACTGTATATATAAGAGCTTTGTTTTAATAACATGAACAGTTGGGGCTTGTTCACGCTTGACTTCTTCCCAAACACCCCTATAGCTTTTGACAGGCATCAGACAGGTGTTTGGGGAGTGTTTTTAAATCTCATAGGCATTTTCAAAGTGTTAAAACTGCACAACAAACGCCAATAATGAAGTTAATGGTTTTAATGCCCCACAAACGCCTACCAGGCGTTTGAGGAGCATCACCATAGACATGAGTAGGAGGCATTGAAAGGCTTCAAGTCCTCCTGGCTGGACATGAGGCGGCAATTTTGAAGCGACTCTAACACTTCAGTGTGAACAGCACTGTGTGCTGCCATGTGTATAATTTAAGTTAAAAACGCCCCTCAAATGCCTGCAAAACGCCTGCTTACAAAGCTAGTGTGAACTGAGCCTTAGTGTAGTAAGCCTTAGCATTCAATCCGAATTCACAGTATTGGACCGCTGGTAAGCTGCTCTGTTTATTTTGTATCTTTATCTGATTGTATAAAAGTTTTTGATTGCATCATTTACACAATGAACCACAAAGCTTCCTACTTGAAGTTTCACTTTTGGCTCTGTCATGTGTTGTGGTTGTTTCTTGATGTAACAAATTTTTTTTATTTTCCTGTGCAGTGTTTGTTGCAGTGGGGACAATTGCTGCTGTACGGCTTGGAACAATGCCCAACTGGATGTTTTTCTGCTGCTTTATCAGCATGTTCATGTTTTTTTGTGCCCAGTGGCAGACCTATGTGTCGGGTACTCTGAGATTTGGAGTGTAAGTTTGTTTTCTATTTTCATCCTCTTGTACAGCCTAACAAATATTCAGTGAGTTAATACCAATAAAAATGTAACAACTGGTTACCTACTATGTTTAAGAGATAATGCAAAAGTAAATCTATTTACTTCACTTTGATTTGTACAAATGACTTGCTTATGGTGCCTGACCTACTTACAGTATATTGCAGATATATAACCAGGTTGTGTTTTTGTATCTTTAAGACTAAAGGCCTTATATACATCAATATCATTAAAAGGGATAGAGACAGAACAGCACAGAACATCATTTTTGCAAAATTCCTGGTACCCTTGCCACTGCTGAGTTAGTGGTTATAAAACCAAACAACAATTAGTAATGCTTAAAACAGGACTTGACAAATTTGCTTTCAATCTAGAAGCCAGCTAAAAAAGTTGGGAGCCAGTTTTTTTTTTTTTTTTTTTTTTTAGCGTAGTGTGAGTTGTCAGTGCCCAGGGCAAGGCAACTTTTGGATGACAAGCTTCACGTGATGCGATTTGCCACGCGATAATCACAGTAAAACCAGAACCTGCGCTTTGTGATCCCAGTGATTCTGCCGTGATCCCAAAATGTCCAGGTGTGAATGGAGCCACCCTGGCTCACACATATGCGATCCTAGATGCATTTCCAAACTCAGATTCGCATGACAGGTTAGATATTATTATGTTTCTATTGAGGTGGTTCACACAGATGCAATCCACACGCATTGGGAGAGATTTACTAAAACTGGAGCACTCAGAATCTGGTGCAGCTGTGTATGGTATCCAATCAGCTTCTACCCTCAGCTTGTTCATTTAAGCTTTAACAATAAAATCTGGAAGCTGATTGGTTTCTATCTAGAGCTGCACCAGATTTTGCTTCATGTAATTTAGTAAATAACTCCCCATTGTGTTTTGAGTGCCATTACAAAAAAGGTACTGTGCGCTTTTTTTAGCAGTCCATTCCAGACTCGCAAGAGAGAGTAGAGTGACATGCAGAGATAAGTGAAGATAATCCACATAGGATTGCTATTGACAGGAGTGTTTGCATTGAAGTCAATGAGAGGTGTTTTGCATTAAAATGAATGGGAGGAGTTTTTGCATTGAACTCCATGGGATGTGATTTTGCATTGAATTTAATGGGAGGCGTTTTTTTTAATTGATGTTAATGGTAGGCTTTTTTGCATTAATGTCAATGGGAGGCAGTGTGTGAACCCAGGTGCAGAGACGCAATTTCTAGTCACCATGGTGACCTGGCACCTGGGGTTTGCTAAGCCATGGCCTAAAACTGAACTCTAGGAAACTTTAAAATGATCCCTTGCAATGAGACTGTACATGCACAGCAAGGGCTAATTGCTCATTTAGGTCTAGGGGACACAAAAAGGAAGATTTACTTACCAGCTGTTCTGTGGTGCTAGGCCAGTCCCCACAATGTCTTCTCCACTACACTCCAGCAATCTAAGGCCCTGACGTCATCAAGCCCAATGCAGGGTCTATAGCCAGAGCACCATTTGCTGGGGGAGAAGAGGATCAGGTAGGTAAATGCACTTCTCTCCCCTAGACAAAATGAGCAGTTAATCCTTGCACTGTGGGCAAAGCTCCACTACAAGGGATATTTCTTTTATTTGCCCTGAGTTAGGCTTTAATGGATGAGTGTTCTAAAAAAAAAAAAAGAATAGAACATTTATATATACAGTATATATCGAACATTCTTATATCAAAACATATACTTCTATGTACATCAGAGATATTTTTTTTTAAGTAAAAAAGAGGAATCGTATTGTTTATCAGAACTATAACCAGCTAGTGTTTAGAAGTAGGTCTGTACTCTGTTCATTAGGCATGTGCTCCAGGGCTGTGTATCCATACTGTTATAATTTCTTGCAAATATGGCCCTGGAGGCCTATTTACTAATTTTGTCATTCTGTGTGTTATCCTGTATTACATATGAGTTGGCTGTATGAAATAAACTTTTTGACTACTTTTGCACTGAATGTCATACTTTTAGAACATAACCGTCTTCTTTTTTTTCCCCCAGGATTGATGTCACAGAGCTTCAGCTATCAGTAACCGTTGTATTTTTGTTGTCTGCATTTTTTGGGACTACATTCTGGGACATTGAGGTAACATGTTGTACACTTTAATAACCACATTAGATCTACTCAGTGTGCATATTTTCTGGTGCATTTGCAGTGGCTGCTTTATTAAAACTAGGGGAAAGAAAAACAGACTATTTTCTCATTACACCATGTCATGATGTTGCTGTCATGTTCCTATGATTGGTTTTAAAGTGCAAGCTGACAATTAGTTGATGAGAGCAACAGTTTTATTTCCTTCTCCATTTTGTTGCTCTGTCATGTCTGTACATTCAGGATAATATATTTGGCCTTTAGCAGACTTAATTTTGTTGGCACACATTGTCCAGGTTCCTGAATGTTATCCTTTCATTGTGTCGTACTCTATTAAGTCAAGTATAGCTTAAACTCAAAGGTGGTTCAGTGTCTGTCAGTGGTACTTTGATCTGCAACAAGTTTACCTCTCTAGATCACTTACTTTCATCTGGTAGACATTATGTATAAACAAAGAATTCTTCAGTGTGATTTGGTGACTATGCAGGTCATGGTATAATTAGCAGTAGGTATTCACATTCAACTCCGCTTGTTCTATAATGTTAAAAAAAAAACATTTTGCCACTCATTCAAGTAGCTTTCTTAGCTCAGGAGCTGGGGGAAGCTATTTGGATAAGTGAAGAAACATCTTCAGCACTATGGAACAAGTTTTGTTAAATGGTAGTAACTATTATTATTAATATACAGGATTTATATAGCGCCAACAGTTTGCTCAGCGCATTACAATATAAAGGGAGACAATACAGCAACAAAACAGTTCAATAAAAGAGGGATAGGAGGGCCCTGATCCTTGGAGCTTACAATCTAACTACTAATAACTATTTTAGTTTTTCGTCTTGCTGGTAAGTAATATACAGTTCTGCAAGTAAAAGCCCCAAGCATTTGTTCACATTGGGTGGTTTGCCATTTATTTCGCATTGCATGTGTTGAACTTGAGAAAATCCATTGTCCTTCACAAGGCCCGTTCATGGCAACTCTTAGGTGATGTTGCTGGACATCCTCCCAGAACATCAAAACCACCTCCTAGCCGTATATCGACTATGCAGCGGGCAGGAAGTGGTTAAAGCCAAACTCTGGGAAAACTAATACCCACAGTATAAGAGTTAACAGCTTGTTTAAATCTAGGGGATCTGGAAAAGCACTTTTTACTTAACTAATCCTCAGCTCCTGCAGGCTCCTTCACGTCACTAGACTGGTCCCCTCAACCTCTTCTCCAGTACACTTCAGTGAACCAAGGTCATCTTACGTCCTCAATACTGATGCAAGGACCACGGCCCTGCATCAAATGTAAGGAGGCCATGAAACAGTCCATTGCCAGAGGATCGCCGTTTGCCGGGGGGAGCAGAGGATCAGGTAAGTAAAAGTGCTTGTCCATCCCTCAAAAAATAAGTGACCAGTTTAACCCCTTGCAGTGCAAGAGGTTAGGAGTTTTATTGTTACTGTAGTTTGGCTTTAAAGCAGTAGTAAACTCTGCTTTTTAACTGGTACCTACAGGTAAGCTTATAATAAGTCTTACCTGTAGGTACAGTGAATATCTCCTAAATGTGCACACTTACCTGCCTGCCTGCAAAAAAAAAAATATATTTGTTTCTAACAATTCACGTTAAAAATAGAGGGTTTCTTTTGCATACATATGTGTAAGCTGCAGTGCCTACGTCAAGGCTGCTTTGTATACTGCAGTGCTAAGTTTCATAGTTTTGAGAGTCTCCAAGTTGGAGCTCATATAACAGTGGATAGATTAAGGGCAGGTTTGCCTGGAGGGAGCTCACCACTCCTTAAAGGCACAGGGACACATGGGAAGCTCACCAAGAGCACAATGGCTGCTGAAGGCATCCAATGCGTCCCCACATCAAATTCACCCAGCTATACAAACTAGTGGCAACTACCCTAATCTATAATTAGCCTTTGCAGAAGGGTGCACATGGAAGGGCAACACACATCACAAACAATGAAAAAATGTTTAGCACACTTACCAGCTAGCTTTGGACCTTGAAGAAGGGGACATACCATGAAAGCTTGTCCTGCAAAATTGTATGTTAGTCCAAGTAAAATAAAGTATAATGGACAGTACTCAATTGTTTCTCCTGGAAAAAAATGTCTCTGTTTTACAATTTACTTTAAAAACAGATGGTTTAGTTTGCACACATATTTACAAATATATGTGTAAGCCGCGGTGCTTACGTCCAGGCTCCTCTGTATACTGCGGACCTAACTCTATGGTTTTGAGAGTCTCCAAGTTGGCTTACATAGGCATACTAGCACATTATAGCATTAACCTGCAGGGGCCCTGTTTTTTTTTTTTCCCTGGGTTTAAAGTATATATAAACCTTCACCTTGTAAAAAAACCCATTCCGTTTAAAATAGAAATGAAAGCCAAACCATTTATGTATAGATATAAAAGAAATATAAATACCTTTTTTATAAAATATCACATACCTTCTATTCTCAGCTATGTGAGGAGCTCAGAGAGCTAGGGGAGAAGAAACAGCATTGCATTGGTCTTCCCAGTGAATGGTTCTGATGGTGGGGGGGGCATGCTGGCATAATTTAATCATTGGAGGAAAACAGCCAGAAAACTGACCATACTGTGTTCTCCTGCCTTCTGTGGTCAGTTTTTAATAGGAAAGCAGAGGGACTGGCAGGAACACCAAGGATTGCAAACAAAGGAAGCAATACAAAGAGAACAGGATATGTTTTCATACAAGTACAGCAGGCACATATCAGGAATACAAAATGTGGGGTTTACATATTCTTTATTCTGCTTTAACCAACCAGACAAGAAAAGCAATATAATACTTCTGATGGTTGTAACCTATCCCAATAATGGTCATCTATCAAGAGCAACAGTAGTAAATGTTATCTGATTTTAGTATTGTCATGTTTTTCTGTATTTCAGTTTCTTGCTCTCAGTGAGGTGCCATATAGGGTAAAATATATAAAATTGCTTTAGAAATGTGATTATATTATACAATCAGTGCCCTCCTGTAGAACAGAGTATGTCAGTAGGAGTTGCGGGTAAATACTAAGGTACATGTTCATTTCCAAATATTTTGCTAAATAGAATTAAGCGTAGGTTGGGCATTTATTTTTTCTCTCTTCACTTTCTGCTGCCAGTGGAAGTTTTCTTGTATCTGAACAGTTTTGCAGGTAAATACTTAAATGCATCATTCGTCATGTGTTAGCTTTTGCTTAACTGGAAGATGTAAATAAATCTACAGACCACAAGAGACAGCTAATATGGTTATTGTAATAAATACATATTACAGCATGCTATTTTATGCAACACCGGTAGGCTACCAATTTCCTTCTTGTCAAAGACAGAGAGCTATATAATACCACAAATACACAACCATATTATACAGCACAGTGTATATGTGTGTGTATATGTACACATACACACACACACACATATACACACATATACATACACACACACACACACACACACACATACACACACACACACACACACATACACACACACACACACACACACACACACACACACACCTTCCCTTAAACCCAGCTGTTGCATGCAGACGTTCACATCTGGACCTTCAAAGAATCTGTTTCATTTTCAGTGAAAATATACAACAAAGGCAAATAAATATATGGTGTCCAAACAGCAGCAGCAATTGTTGTTTTTACCACTCGCACAGTATAGGTAGCTAAGCGCTGGTCACTACGTTTACCTATATAGTACACATGATAGCAAAGTTCCCTCAGCAGCTGTGTATCAGTTACTCCAAGCAAATACCTTACTACTATTCATTTGACAAGGGGAAAATCGGTAGCATAACTGGCTTGCATAATATAGTGGAGTGTTACTTTTTATTTATTGACTTGATTTAGAAGGGTTACTGAACCTTCATACACCTGCTGCTGATTGTATTTTAGTACCACTTTCCAAAGTATATAAATAACAACTTTTGCAAGAACTTTTGTGTGTTTGAATGATGACTACATTAACCATACATTAAGTTCTCATTCACACCTGAGCTGTACACCACCATGAACGAACGTAAATTTCCAGCGGTGTATGCAGTCAGCCATGGTCACTCAGCCTTTACAAATCTATAAAATACGTCTTTGCCTGTCTCCAAGTCCATGCTGTCCATGTATTCACAGATCGAGTTGTTCCATGCAGTTAAGGGACAGATAAGCAACCCAGGATGCATCCAGGGCTGCCCATCTGTCTCTAATCAAATGTACCTGCTCAGCTGTTAGGTGACATGCATACAGCTGCAGTGCTGGTCAGCTACTTCTGATCACATACTTATGATCCTTGCCAAAGAAATACATTAATTCTTGGTAGTGTACACCCCAAAGTGGCTGTGTGAATGTGACCAATTTGTGGTCAGTTTTGACCACTTCAATATTAGCAATGCCTTCATTTTATTGATATAAAAAAGTTTAGGTGGAGTTATTCAATATTCGTTTTCTTGAGAATGTAATGCTTAGATCTTTCAGATGTGGACAGAGTTGTATATGGCTATATTATTACATTACATTACATTATACAGTGTTTATATAGCGCCAAAGGGTTTGCTCAGCACTGTACATTAAAGTGGGGGGACAGTACAAGAGACAATACAGTAACAATACAATACACGAGGGGTTTGAGGGCCCTGCTCTTTTGAGCTTACTATCTAGGAGGGAGGGGGTAGAGGTACAGGAGGAAGTGGCTGTGGGGGATGGAGTGGTAAGAGGAGTGGAGAATGGCTGTTAGGTGAGGGTGGGGTAGGCTTCCCTGAAGAGATGGGTTTTCAGGGTGTGCCTGAAGGTGAGGAGGGTAGGTGACAGTCTGATGGATTGGGGTAGGGAGTTCCAGAGGATGGGGGAACGTCCTGGAAAAGTCCTGCAGTCGGGCATGGGAGGAGCAGACTAGGGAGCTAGAGAGTAGGAGGTCTTGTGAGGAGCGAAGGGCACGGGTAGGGTGGTATTTGGGTATCAGGTCAGTGAGGTAGTTTGTGGCAGCGTTATGGATGGCTTTGTATGTCAGAGTTAGTATTTTGAATTTAATGCGTTGGGCAGTCGGGAACCAGTGAAGGGATAGGCAGAGGGGGGCGGCCGAAGTGGAGCGGTTGGTGAGGTGGATGAGTCTAGCCGATGAGTTCAGGATAGACTGGAGCGGGGATAGCGTTTGTCGGGGTAGGCCGGTGAGAAGGGAGTTGCAGTAGTCTTGGCATGAGATATTAAGGGAGTGTTGTTTGTTTAGTGGTGTCTGGGGTGAGGAACGTACGTATCTTGGAGATGTTGTGGAGGTGGAGCCTGTATGACTTTGATAGTGATTGGACAGGTTGGAAGGAAAGGTTTGAGTCCAGGGTGACACCTAGGACTTTGGCGTGTGGGCTGGGATTGATGGTGGTGGTGTTAGTCGTGATGGAGAGGATGGGGGGGGGGGGGGGGGGCGGCGGGGACTGGGGGGGGGAAAACTAGGAGCTCGGTTTTGGACAGGTTTAACTTGAGGAAATGGAGCGACATCCAGTCTGTTATGTCGTTTAGGAGGTGGGTGATACGGGCAGAGACTGAAGGAGTGAGTTGAGGGGTGGAGAGGTAAATTTGTGTGTCATCGGCATAGAGGTGATAGTTGAAGCCGTGGGAGTGTATCAGTTTGCCAAGGGAGGAGGTGTAAATGGAGAAGAGAAGGGGTCCGAGGACAGAGCCTTGGGGGACCCCAAAAAGAGGGGGAGAGAGGGAGAGATGGCAGCGTTATAGGTAACGCTGAAGGAGTGTTGGGATAGGTAAGAGGAGAACCAGGAGAGAGCAGAGTCCCTGATGCCAAGGGAGTGTAGTTTAGTAAGGAGGAGGGGGTGGTCAACTGTGTCGAAGGCCGCGTAGAGGTCGAGGAGTAGGAGGACTGAGTAGTGGCCATTAGCTTTGGCGGAGAGCAGGTCGTTAGTGATTTTAAGTATATATGTTGAAGAGCTTTCTGTGCAATTATGAAGTATCTGGGTCTCCTGTCTTCGTGTTTCTTAGAATGTAAAACTATAATGTTTTAATCAGAAACATTGCTTTATTCTTAACATTACTTTCTTTATACTTCATTTACAGATTCCCATGACTGGACTACCCTTGAAAGTCTTACCTCTCATGGGTATTGTGTTTGGAACAATTTATTCTTGTAGCAATTACTTTAGAGTCATTTTCACTGGTGGAGTAGGAAAAAATGGATCTACTGTAGCTGTAAGTGAATTTGAAACTATGCTTTGCAATAATATCTTTTTTGGCAGTTACTTTAATAATCTCTCTTCCGTGCCTCTAATATTTACTATCATGCAGTTATGCTGATTAGAAGTCTTCAGCATGTGTCAAAAGCTACGTCACCTAATAGTGCGTTGCGCTTTCACCAGCCAGCAAGTGCATTACTAATGCGTCCTAGATCCTGCTGACTAACTTCATTGGGGCATTACTGTACCTCAGGATCACTAGACCCTAGTAGGCAATATTTTAGAGCTTCTTAAGAGAGGTCCAGACATTCCCTCCCACAATGCATTTTATGTTGGAGACCTATTGAGGAGTCCTAACATTGCACTGTGGAATGTGATGGGGGTGTGGATGTGCTCAACTTTCTAAAATGTCAAATTTCTGCTTAAGAATATCCAAGGCTTTCAGAAGAAACATTAGGTGTGGATTACTAGCAACATTTGTGGCTAGTTGACCGATTTGTACAAAATGTTTAGTTTAAATATGGTACATTAATTATTTTTGTATCTGTACTTGGTGTAATCATGAATGTATATCAAGTAAAAGATGCAGTACATTAATTTTCACATATGTTTTTTTTTCTTCAAATAAAAACTAATTAAATTGACGTATTTGCGGTTAAGCCCTAAATTTTAATGTAACTCTACAAATGTACACTCAACAGTTATATCAAAATAGTTGAAGCAAATACAGCATTGGGAAATACCTTTTTATTACTTATTATTAGCACCTATGTGGAATCTGTTCTTCGCTGTCTTGCACAGGTAGAGGCAGCAATTGAAGTTTCAGCATCTGACACTGCCTGTGTCTCCCAGTTGCATTTGTAGTCCCCCCCCCCCCCCCCTCCCTGGCCACTCCATCACTGCTGTGTCCCTTCAGAGGTGTAGTTAATGCAGCAATTAGAGAGCCCCAGTGGGGAAACTTTGGGCAACTCACATACCCGAAAGTGTTGGAAAATTGAGCCATGTATGGCCAGTCCTAACAAGAATTTTTAATTTTATGTCAGACCACAGTAAAATGTATTTTAAAATAGTCACGCAATCTTCATTTTATAGGTGGCTATCAATGCAGATCAACATCTGCCATCATTAATATCTTATGTACTCATTATAAAAATTCAACAAAATCCAAAAACTATAAAACCTGGAAGTCCACCATACTTCTTTACAGATAAAGAAAACATTTTATTTCACATAAATTGATCCATGATTCCTTATTTTGTTTCACATATGTCAATGCATTTCTCCACTTCTTCAAGACATGAAAATCCCAGCTGATAATCATTCATTCTTTCAATTATTGCAATTCAGTAGTATACGTTGTTAAACAATTTGGGATGTGGTATTTTAACAAATAGCACTATAAACCAATATGTACAATATAATTACAGAATAATCAATATATTACATTGTATATCAAATTGAATAGCAAGTCCAATTTAACCTCAAAGTTAGTGTGGCCTATATATGTAGACATGAGCTTCTACCTGCATCCATAAAGTGTGCAATCACTATCTCAGGCATCGCTAGGTAGGGGGACCAGAAGTGGATATACAGTGAAGGAAATAAGTATTTGATCCCCTGCTTATTTTGAATGTTTGCCCACTCACAAAGAAATTATCAGTCTAAAAATCGAATGATAGGTGTATTGTAACACTGAGAGATGGAATAGCAACAAAAAATTCAAAAGAAATGCATGTCTAACAAATTATGCACTGATTTGCATGTTCATGAGGAAAATAAGTATCTGATCCCCTTCACAAAACATGACTTAGTACTTGGTGGCCATTCCCTTGTTGGCAATCACAGAGGTCAGACGTTTCCTGTAGTGGCCACCAGGTTTGCACACATCTCAGGAGGGATTTTGGCCCACTCCTCTTGGCAGATCCTCTCCAAGTCATTAAGGTTTGGTGGCTGACATTTGGCAACTCAAACTTTCAGCTCTCTCCACAGATTTTCAATCGGATTAAGGTCTGGAGACTGGCTAGGCCACTCCAGGATCTTAATGTGCTTCTTCTTGAGCCACTCCTTTGTTGCCTTGGCGGTGTGTTTTGGGTCATTGTCCTGCTGAAACACTCATCCACGACCCATTTTCAATGCCCTGGCTGAGGAAAGAAGGTTCTCACCCAAGATTTGATGGTACATTGCCCCGTCTATCGTCCTTTTGATGCGGTGCAGTTGTCCTGTCCCCTTAGCAGAAAAACACCCCCAAAGCAGAATGTTTCCACCACCATGTTTGACAGTTGAGATGGTGTTCTTGGGGTCATAGACAGCATTCCTCCTCCTCCAAGCACGGCGAGTTGAGTTGATGCCAAAGAGCTCGATTTTGGTCTCATCTGACCACAAAACTTTCAACCAGTCCTCCTCTGCATCATTCAGATGTTCAGTGGCAAACTTCAGATGGGCCTGAACATGTGTTTTCTTGAGCAGAGGGACCTTGTGGGCACTGCAGGATTTCAATCCTTGTCGGTGTAGTGTGTTACCAATTGTTTTCTTGGTGACTGTGGTCCCAGCTGCCTGTAAATCATTGACAAGATCCTGACGTGTAGTTCTGGGATGATTCCTCACTGTTCTCATGATCATTGATACTCCGCGAGGTGAGATCTTGCATGGTACACCAGACCTAGAGAGACTGACAGCTGTTTTGTGTTTCTTCCATTTGTGAATGATTGCACCAACTGTTGTCATCTTCTCACCAAGTTGCTTGGCGATAGTTTTGTAGCCCAGTCCAGCCTTGTGTAGGTCTACAATCTTGTCCCTGACATCCTTGGACAGCTCTTTGGTCTTTGCCATGGTGGAGAGTTTGGAATCTGATTGTTTGATTGCTCCTGTGGACAGGTGTCTTTTATACAGGTAACAAAATGAGATTAGCAGCGCTCCCTTTAAGAGACTGCTTCTAATCTCAGTTTATTATGAAAGACACCTGGTAGCCAGAAATCCTGCTGAATGATAGGGGATCAAATACTTATTTCCCTCATGAACATGCAAATTGGTGTATAATTTGTTAGACATGCAATTCTTTTGAATGTTTTGTTGCTATTTTGTCTCTGTGTTACAATACACCTACCATTCGATTTTTAGACTGATAATTGCTTTGTGAGTGGGCAAACATTCAAAATCAGCAGGGGATCAAATACTTATTTCCTTCAATGTATAAGATTGTGATTAAAAAAAAGTGAAATCTGTATATCCAAAATAAAGCATGATGGTTCAATTTATATGAAATAAGATATTTTTATCTGTATGGTGAACTTCCAGGTTTTGCTTTTGAAATAAAGTATATGTGACATTGAACACATTTTTGCATTTTTATAATAAGTATGTAAGATATTAATGATGGCAGATGTTGATCTGTATTGACAGCCCCTTATCTAATGAAAAAAATTGCATAACTATATTAAAGTATTTTTTCGGGTGATTAACACTGCATCAAGACTTTTGGCATTATCACTAATATAATCTAAGTGGACTTTTTCACTGAATATTGCAGCAAATTGTAATCTGATTGGTTGCAGTGGTTTACCACACTTTTCACTGTCTTATCATCTAAGCCTATTTGTGGCAAAGTGGCTTTGCTCCTATCTGTAATAAAGTGAAAACAGCCCTCACGGGAAAATAGTGATTGCTATGTATATGAAAACTGAAAGTACAATAAGCATTTTTTTATTCTCGCAGGGAACAAGTGTGCTATCTCCTGGCCTCCATATTGGACTGGTGCTTATATTAGGATTAATGATCTATGTAAAATCAACAACAGATTTATTACACAATCATCCAAGTCTTTATACACTAACATTTGGGTGTGTAAGTTCCAAGATCACTATTAAGCTTGTGGTAAGTTTTCCTGCACTCCTATAATAAAGCATTTTATACAACAACAGAAATGTTCAAAGCACAGTTAACACATTACAACCAGCCAGCATTTAATATTGTTTCAGCTGTTCTAAGAAGTCAGGAATCTTCATGGTTTGGGTTGCAGTACATACTGGTAATTGCCCTAAATAAGCCCTCAGCAATTCATACATACTGTATAATCACAAAGTGACTTATCTATATAACATTAGTCTATGGAGCATGTGTATTGAAAAATATTAGTAAGCAGTTATCCAAAGGCCTTGTAAGTGCTTCTTAGCAGGTTACCTATAGAGGAATTACAGTAATGCACAGTGATTAACAACATCATGGGAAATCAAAGATGCAGCGCCTAAGTTGAGGTCCTGAGTAGTCTCAGGCTAAAATGTGATCAAATTACATCAATAAAAAGTAAACACAACTTCTGCAGATAACATAAAGCAAAGTTTTTAAGAATTCAGTTAAATACAGTTAAACTATATATGTGTTTATAGTGTTACCTGTTATATGTGTAATGCTATTCCCAGAGTGGCAGCTGAATTGTTTTGTGATTTTTGCATACCTGAAGATGACACACCTTGCGCACAGCACTTACTGGATATTTTAAATAATTTTTTAGGCCAAGCTTAGCCTAAAAGGAGAAGTGATTAGCAAGTGTACTTATGCAAATAATCAATAAAACCATAAGCGTTAAGCTGCTGTTAGAATACAAGACAGAGGGAGATATCCCTGCATTCACATCATTTGTATTGATGCGGGGATCTGTGAGGTTTGTTTGTTTGTTTTTTTTTTTCAACCTATTGGTTGAAAGGGAAAAAAAATTCAGTGTGTATACAGTAGTTATACACTTGCAGTATTCTAAATAACAGTAATTAACAGAAGTGAACTGTGTTTATCTATCATCAGTATATAAAGACAGTCCTAACTTGCTATTACGGTCTGTTTTGTCACTCTGGCCAGTGAATGATTAAAATAAAATTGTTGCCACACCCAAGGCACTCTGTTCTTGATCTCCGGACACGAACTTGACAAGTCTCTTTCAATCCTGCTATGACAATCCCTCTTTTCCTTACTTACAAGTTATAGGAGTGCTGTCAAGTACAGTCTTTGTAATCCAAAGGGGCATTGGCTTGTTCCCAGATAAAGAGGCGATAAGGCAAACCCACTGGGGCAAAACTAGAAACCAGAAAAGTCAGTGTTCAAGAGACATCTCACCAGAGTAAGCACTCTCTGAACTCTAGGCATTTCCATGTAGGCTTGTGAAAGGGTCCTTCCTCGCAAGCTAGCGCCCAGTAGTAGCAGCCAGTGGTCCTCTTCTGATGATCAGCAATCTGTTGATGGTCACAGTCACTCACCGCATCCTGCAAGTGAAACTGATTTCCAGTGTGGGCTCTCAAGATGCAGGTCTCCTAACATGTATCATTGCACAGAATTTACTGGTAGCAGCTGTCTGATCAACACTTTTGTCCTGGAAAGCACAACATCAGATAGCTCCAGCAAAACTTTGGCCACACACCACTGTTCCCCCTTCACTGCAACCTTGTGTCTCTCAGCTGCTCAGCACAGGAAATGGTTTCAGCAGCATTTGGTCCCCACAGTTGCTTCCTCCCTGCATTCTCCAGGCTGGTGCAACAATTAAGCTCCCTTTTCCAGCAGCCTCAGTTCAGTGTCCCAAAAATAGAGCAGAAACAGGCCACCTAGAATGACACGAATGACTGGTGTCATAATCATATCTCCGACTCACTTAGTATGTAAGTGTGGATCCATAAACCCAGAAAATGCATACTGAACAATATGGTAGTGTGACAAGAGCACCCCTACCTGAAAAAAGAAGGTTACTAAGAGATCCACGCGGAGTAATATGGATTCAAAAATTACAGGCAATACTTTATTTGATCACATAGATCATAAGGAGGTTAAACATGAGCACGGTGAACATGTCAAGCAAATAAAATCATTTTAAAAGCACTTAGCGTCTTCATATCAGGGTCATTTAGGCAAGTAGAGTACCATATAAGGCAATATAGGGTAATGGTGAGGTTTTGATCCTAGGTTTCCATGAATTTCCAGCTTGTATCAGAGTGAACCATAAATTCAGCAGATATGTTCCCAATATAAGTCAGGATGTGTAGAGTAGCCTCCTGGTGTATGGAAGCTGGAACACAAAAATACACAAAAAATGTATGAAAATATAGGAGCTGAATCACGTCCAAGCCTCACCAAGCCTCCCTCTACAGTAATTAGTGGACACCTTCATTACCTTCTTAGTTGTGAAACTGTCATACCCGCTTCTCAAATGTAGGGACTTCCTGGGTAACCACCCCAAGTGAAACAAAGTCCACAGTACCAAATGATTCTGGGGATATATATAATAAATAAAAATTATTGTATAGAACACAGGCATCAAGTAAAGCCCTGAAAGCAAAAAACAAAGTATGGGTATATTACCATCAATAGAGATCAAGAGGACTCCCGTCGACTTGAAATAGGATCAGGTCCTTGATGCTTGTTCAAATGTGCATATGGGGGTGGGAAGCCAGGTAGTCACAATACGTGGATTCCAAACACATATATTGTGTATATAGCAGGCCGTGAATACCTGAGTCTATATACCCACTGAAGGGTTTCCAAAAATTACTCAATCTAAGAAAATTGAAGCGGTATGAATAGGATATGGCTTTGTCACAGCATACAATGCCTAAATAGGATAGCATATAAGTATATATATGTATATATTATCCTCTAAAGAGGATTTCCAAAAGATTCCCCGAGTATACAGGGTAGATTAGGCCCGTATAACATGCCCTCTTAGCTCCAGATATACTCTATAAATCTACACAGCTGTAAGCTAAAATAACTTGCCACCGGTGGAAGGTATATTCCCCTAGGGGATTGCCGTTTGCGAACCGCTGTAGCAGTAGACTTTATGGTAGTTTTCAGAGGGCCTCGTGCCTTCCTAGCAAGGAGCTGTGACACCGCCGTTCCTTCCCACCTCGTGGGCGCCGCACCCTATGAAGACGCCGAGCGTAGTGACGTCATTACGTTGACGCGTTTCGTCCGCCAATCACCGCAGACTTCGTCAGAACCTTCGTCAGAGTCAATTTAAATTTAATATATGTGTTTTAATTCACTCTGGATCTTTCGAATGTAGTGATACTCTTTCAACACAAGATGGCGAGGTGGAGACTCTTTGGTATGCAATTAGTGCACCATATAAGGCAAAGGATTGAAGTCCCCTCCCAGTTCTGACGAAGTCTGCGGTGATTGGCGGACGAAACGCGTCAACGTAATGACGTCACTATGCTCGGCGTCTTCATAGGGTGCGGCGCCCACGAGGTGGGAAGGAACGGCGGTGTCACAGCTCCTTGCTAGGAAGGCACGAGGCCCTCTGAAAACTACCATAAAGTCTACTACTACAGCGGTTCGCAAACGGCAATTCCCTAGGGGAATATACCTTCCACCGGTGGCAAGTTATTTTAGCTTACAGCTGTGTAGATTTTATAGAGTATATCTGGAGCTAAGAGGGCATGTTATACGGGCCTAATCTACCCTGTATACTCGGGGAATCTTTTGGAAATCCTCTTTAGAGGATAATATATACATATATATACTTATATGCTATCCTATTTAGGCATTGTATGCTGTGACAAAGCCGTATCCTATTCATACCGCTTCAATTTTCTTAGATTGAGTAATTTTTGGAAACCCTTCAGTGGGTATATAGACTCAGGTATTCACGGCCTGCTATATACACAATATATGTGTTTGGAATCCACGTATTGTGACTACCTGGCTTCCCACCCCCATATGCACCTTTGAACAAGCATCAAGGACCTGATCCTATTTCAAGTCGACGGGAGTCCTCTTGATCTCTATTGATGGTAATATACCCATACTTTGTTTTTTGCTTTCAGGGCTTTACTTGATGCCTGTGTTCTATACAATAATTTTTATTTATTATATATATCCCCAGAATCATTTGGTACTGTGGACTTTGTTTCACTTGGGGTGGTTACCCAGGAAGTCCCTACATTTGAGAAGCGGGTATGACAGTTTCACAACTAAGAAGGTAATGAAGGTGTCCACTAATTACTGTAGAGGGAGGCTTGGTGAGGCTTGGACGTGATTCAGCTCCTATATTTTCATACATTTTTGTGTATTTTTGTGTTCCAGCTTCCATACACCAGGAGGCTACTCTACACATCCTGACTTATATTGGGAACATATCTGCTGAATTTATGGTTCACTCTAATACAAGCTGGAAATTCATGGAAACCTAGGATCAAAACCTCACCATTACCCTATATTGCCTTATATGGTACTCTACTTGCCTAAATGACCCTGATATGAAGACGCTAAGTGCTTTTAAAATGATTTTATTTGCTTGACATGTTCACCATGCTCATGTTTAACCTCCTTATGATCTATGTGATCAAATAAAGTATTGCCTGTAATTTTTGAATCCATATTACTCCGCGTGGATCTCTTAGTAACCTTCTTTTTTCAGGTAGGGGTGCTCTTGTCACACTACCATATTGTTCAGTTCAGTGTCCCCTTGCTCTGTTGCATCAGCCAATCACTCAATCCAGACCCAGCGAAGATGGCTGGCCCCTGCACTGGAGACAGTCCATAGGTGAACATTGTAAAGTGGTCTCCTTAAAGATGGCCACTGGACTTCTGTATTGATGAATATTCAGTTTACCATGTCCACACTGCATAACGATAATGCAGCTGCAACAAAGGAACCGATCCATATGTGCCATCCCTCTCTGCCAATCCCTCCACTGGCTTCCCATTGCCCAATGAATAAAATTCAAAACATTAACAATCACATATAAAACCATTTATAACTCTGCCCCAAATTACATCACCAATCTTGTCTCCAAATATCACCCAAACCGCCCCTCTCCGCTCCTCCCACGACCTCCTGCTCTCTAGCTCCCTTGTCTCCTCCTCCCATACTCATCTCCAGGACTTCTCCAGAGCCTCCCCCATCCTCTGGAACTGTCTACCCCAATCTATCAGACTATCACCTACTCTGCCAACTTTTAGGCGATCTCTGAAAACCTATCTCTTCAGGGAAGCCTATCCTGCCTTCAGCTAATAATGGAGTCTTCTATTCCTTCTACCAGTCCATCCCCCACAGTTATTACCTTTTTGTACCACCAGCCCCTTCTTCTTAGATTGTAAGCTCCAAGGAGCAGGGCCCTCCTAACCCTCCTGTATTGAACTGTATTGTCTCCCTTTATTTTGTAAAGCGCTGAGCAAACTGTTGGCGCTATATAAATCCTGTATAATAATAAGTTCCACGACAGTTATCAGCTACAGTCCCGGTAACGTGCTACATAACTCACTTTATATTTTCATATTCATTCAAGATTCGTTTAATTTGAAACAATTGGGTCAAAGCGTATTCCTTTAGCCCAACAATTCTCTGTAAACAGATCCATTTTGTCTCTCTTTTATTTCCCGAAGGAGTTTTCTGTCTGAATATGGGGAGACCTCTTTGGCTGAAATGATGTGTAAGAGCCATGTAAAAAAATGTTTGCTGTGCATATCTTTTAATGGTGAAAGGCTCTTTGGTGCCTCCTTAGATACACTCATATTACCAATCACAGCGGGTAATAATGCTGATTTGTCTAAACCGCGCGTCAGCAAGCAATAGGCTGGTAGATCACGGTCTAAGCTTGCTGACCCGCCATCCCAGAGCATCAAACAGATGCAATGCAGAGGGACTAATCGTAAAGTTGGAGCTGTAGTAGGGAGCAAGAGCCGCATAAGCCAATGCCTCCTTTGTACTGCTGGTCCTGTCCCATATGGACTGATATCAACTGCACTACACCTGTTATCCTGGTTGGCAGTCTCCAGAGTGGTGCCAGCAGCAGGAAAGAAGAGATCTTAACCACCTCCCATCCGGCCGTTGTATATAAATGGCCAGAAGGTGGCAGTGCAGGGTCGGGTGGCCATTTATAAACAGCCTCCCCGTTCCCTGCTTGTGCGCGATCCCTGGGAGCGCACAGCGCCGCAATCCGGTGCCCGCTGTGTCCTCCGGAACCAGTGGAACACCGATCGTCGAACGGGACCTCTCTGCGAGGTCACGATCATGTGATCACTGATTGGCCAATCAGTGATCACATGCAGAGTAGTAAGCAAGATGTCACTTGTGACATCATTGCTTACTACGTGTGAAATCTGTAAATGATCACAGAGGTCATGTGGTACAAGGCTATTCACAACAGCCTTGTACCATGTGACAAGCTGTGACCAATCACAGCTCACACAGTAGTTCTCAGTGGCTGCAAGAATGCAGACAGAGAGGAGAAATTATTGCTTTTACATCCTTTATGGGTGTAAATGCAATCAGTGTAAAAAAGAAAAAAAAAAATCTTCATCACCCCCCACTAAGGTGACACTGTACTGCTGGGTGACTGTATGTTTAAAAAAAAACATAAATAATATAAAAAAATAAAATAAAAACGTAAAACATTTGAATACATTTTGCATTTGAAAACATTTTGGCCAAGATTTATGAAGAAAGATTATTTATTTGCAAAACTTTATAAGAAAACCACTTTTTTTTTTTTTTCCAAAATGTTTGGATTTTTCATTTATATAGCAAAAAATAAAAATCTCAGTGGTAAATAAATACCACCAAAATAAAGTTTTATCTGTCTCAAAAAAATGCTGAAAAATTTATATGGGTACAGTGTTGTATGACCGCGCAATTGTCATTCAAAGTGTGATAGCACTGAAAGCTGAAAATTGGCCTGGACAGGAAGGGGGTGAAAGTGTCTGGACTTGAAGTGGTTAAACATGTCCAGTAAAAAAATTTAAAAAATCGAATTTTGTCATAAATGTAGGCCAAAATGTATTCTGCTATATGTCTTTGCTGAAAAAAAAAATCTCAATACGTGTAAATTAGGTGAAAGTTATAGCGTCTACAAATGGCGGTATAGATACTGGAATTTTTTTCCTAGTAATGGCGGCGATCAGCGACTTATAGCGGGACTGCGGTAGGCATTCTGACACTGGGGGGAACTGATTTGTCACTGTGACACCACTACAGTGATCAGTGCAATAAAAAGCACTGACACTGTACTAATGGCACTGAACAGGAAGGGGTTAACGTGGGGTGATCAAAGGGTTAACTGTGCCTGTCCTGTTTTACTACATGGGCTGTCTCTGTGTTTCACTGTGCGCAGACTACTTTGTATGGCTTTGCTATGCACAGCCATACAAAGCAGTGTGCAGGAGCTGACAGGGGAGAGATCTGTATTGTTTACATACAGGTCTCTCCCCCATTGGAGATACTCGGCAATCACTGGGTGCCGGCGAGTAATCATTGGCTGGGACCCAGTGATTGACAGCTGAAGCCGTGAATGGCAGCGCGGGTAGGGCTCGCACGCGCCTCCTACCCGGAACTGCAAAACCATGTATATATACGGGATTTTGCGCACCCCTGCCGCCTTGTAGCAGCATTTCTGCTATGGGGCGAAGGGGAGATGGTTAAAGCTTCAAAAAGGCATCAAGGAAGCATCAGAAATGCATTAAAAAAGCATATTAAAGTGGTAGGCACTTTAATGTGTGCTAAAATGAAAGCAAGTGTAATGAGCCCTAAAATTGACAGGATTTCCTGTCCAAGGAACTGGTTTATCTCCTTGCTTCACAGTTGCCGACTTTAATGGCATGGCTGTTGAAGCCCAGGTCTTGAGAAACAGGGCTCTCTGATTCACTCATTTCCACATTGTTAAAATCTAGGAAGTCTACTTCCTGAAAAATGTAGCATCACAAATGGAATGGCGTGGCATACTTCATCTACTTCATACTATTCACCTGAGGAATTACTTTGTGGGAAGAATCCTAAAGTTTCTGGCCATGAGTACCATTAAGGGTCAAATCTTGACCCTTGAAGTCTTATTCCAAAGACCACTAGCCTCCTATTCCTTAGTCATGACTTTCATACAGTCTCCTCCTGTGCAGCCGTGTGACTCTATGGTATTTTAATTTGTTTCTCTCAGCTCTTCAGAGATCGCCTTATGAACCTATTAGGTAAAGAATCCTTTCTATTCCCACTCACAGGGTAACTTTCCTTGTTGCCATCACTTCTGCATGGCGGTCTGAAATGGAAGTCTTGTTCTAGATCTGGTTTTACACAGCGATAAGGCGGTGTTTGAGTTCTAGAGCCTCCTTTCTTCCTAAGCTGCTTTTGGCCTTTCACCTCACATTGTTGGGACACGTTCTTCCATCTTTCTGTCCATGGTGTAAGGTCCTTCAGGCAGCTCCCTTAACTGCAGGCTGCCCCCAGTTCTATTGTTTTTGATTATGTGGGCATGATTAGGTTTTGGTAACTCTTGCCCACCCTTCAGTTGCACTGTTTTGGACATCCCAATAGTCTCAGAACAACAGAATCTTGTGTCCCTTAAAGTGTTACTAAACCCACAACAGTAAAATCAGTCTGTATATGCAGTAAAGCATGCTTGTTATACCCACTGTGGAACCTAAGGGATTAATCCTCTGAATTGTGTAAAAACACTGTTTGATCCTGACTTCTTTGATCCTCCCCTTCTTCCAGTGCCCCCCTTGTATCTCCAGATATGACATATTGGTGTGAAGACACTCTGCACATGCTCTGTTTGGTGTGTATTGCTAGAGAGTTTTTTTTTTTTCTATTGCGAGAATGCCTGTGAGCAGAGCAGGGCCAATCAGCACTGTCCAAGCAGAGGTCAGGGGTTCTGCATCCTCCTAGAGCAGAAAGAAAACTCCTTCTACAAGCTTTATCCAGTGCTCTGCTAAACACTGATATAAGTCACAAGACTTCACAAACTGCTGATAAGAAAAGGTATTTGGCAGTTGATATTTACTAAAATAATTGCACTTCCATGTAGTGTGTACCGTGATCAGATATAGTGAATGCAGGGTCCGGGGTTTAGTAACACTTTAATGAATGAGAAAGAGAACAGGATTTTTGTAATTGCCATAAAAACTGTTTCTGGAGGAAAGAAAAATATACTTTTTGTTTATGTTGTTAGTTTACACTGTTTTCTTCACTGGAGAAATCTGTAAGTGACGGCTGTATGAAAATATATTGTGACATCAGAAGCGCTGTTTATACTGTTGCAAGATACTTGCTAACTAATCATCCTGGGTCCAGATTGCCAAACCAGACAGTTTTCAGTCCACTTTGCCCAGCAGCATATGGTTAGCATGTGTCAGTATGGTATCTAATTGATCATTAATTCCATTCAGGAACATGTCATTTTATGACTGGTTAATAACTAATTGGTGACCTGCTTGTGTCATTCTCCGTGTATATCAGTTGTAGTACTAAGAATAATGCTTGAGGTATAATGAACTCAAATGACCTGTATAAATGTGAAGTCGCCTCCTACTTGTTGTTCTTTGTTAATTCAACTTTTTGTTTTTCTTCAGCTGGCACATATGACCAAAAGTGAACTTTATATTCAAGATACTGCATTTATTGGACCAGGTCTTTTATTCCTAAACCAGTACTTCAACAGCTTTATTGATGAATACATAGTTTTGTGGGTAGCACTAGTAAGTATGTTTTACAGTTATCTGACATGTATAATAGTTAAAGAAAAGAAAAGCTTAAAGAGGAAATTCAGCCTTATCTTAAAAATCACAACAAGGGCAACTTTAGAAGTGTATGGTAATCACAATCCACAAATTTTAGATAATAGCAAGCTTTTATTTTTTTCTTTTCTTATTTTTCCCTTCCTCCCCATTCCTCTAACAGTGGTCATTTTGACTAAGGGTGGATGAATCCATCTCCCTTCCTAAAACTGATTCTGCCTACTGGAAACTAGAACAATGGAAATCATCTGAAGGGGGTAGTCACTGGTGGTGTAGCCTTCCCAGGATACATCTGTGAGGCCAAGGTAAGGCTGGCCATACATGGGTCAAAATTCAACTGATTTTTCATCCAAAAATTGGACCTAAGAATAATCGGCCAATTTTTGCTCTGTTGGTGGATCAGTGGCACCGGATGATTTTTGTGGTTTTTTCCCCTTTTCGGTGATCGGGCATGTTGGAAAGTTTGTGAAAAACTACCGATTTTCGACTTGATCAAATTGTACGATCGTTTTTTTCCGAAAATAATATGCGCATGAGCCGTGACCTGGAAGGAACAGAAGTTTCGCCTGTTATATGGGGTGAACTTTATGACTTGGTTGGCCGATTTTTTTTTTTTTTTTTTAAATCATTGATGGCACCATCGGATTACCGAGCAAACAACATTTTCGATTTTTGGACTAAGAATCGTTCAGAATTTGAACCATGTATGGCTTGCATTACAGCACCACAAGAAACCAGGAAGTTGGAAAAAATTATTTGACTACTTATGTAAGATGATCTTCTATCATCATGCAGAGCTGCATGATGATATGATATTTAGTGAGCAAGGAAAAGGTCTGCTTTATGAAACACTCTTTGCTTCAGTATTTTTCATATGCTTTGTATTTCATGGTTTGGATATTACTAGGTCGTGCACAAACCTAATGTTATACTTTTATGGCCCCACGCATACAGTGTTAAAAATGCCACTTTTAGAGGAGTTTCCCGTTTTTGTTTCTCCTTCTAAACACCCATCTATTTTAGCCATTTTCGAGGCGGACAAAGGAGACATTTAGAGCAGAAAAAAAAAAACCAGGGCCTGCACATTCAGGAGAGGAGTGTTTCAACATAAAAAGAACGCTTGATGTGCCTGAGTGCGCTTTAGTACTAGGCATGTCTAGCACTTGAACGTTCATTTATTCCAATGGGCAGAATAAATTAGTATTTTGACCAATTCAATGAATCAATGCCAATTGCTTGATGTATCTACCATTTTTGTAAAATGCGGTTTTAGGCTCGTTTTGAACAATGAGCATAGGCGTCCAGGGAAGGTAAAAAAAATCTGTGCATGAGGCCTATTTCTGCATTTATAAAAACGTTAATATGAAATCACAGTGAATTAATGAAAAAGTGGCGCATATACTTCACAGTGCCAAAACTTAATAAATAAAAATATCAACCTACTGTCCCAACTTATTTATCATATATCCTCAAAATATCTTCCATATTTTCCTCAAAATATCTTATATTATATAAATATATTAAATAAAATTACAGTGACCAAAAAAAAACCAACCCACTATAGTGAGCAAAACAAATACAGTGCTAAAAAAAAAGTCCAGTGATACAAAAATAAAGTCCAGTGATGAAAATGTCCCGTGATAAAAATCATACAGTGATCACAGTGCGCCCCCACTTGGGTGTGCACTCACCAGTGTTATAATGTCCTCTGCCTTTGGTATATAGAATACCGAAGAGGGCTTCAGCTGGTAAGTACTGGGAGTTTCTTCAGACTTAGCTCAGTCCGTGAATAAATGCCAGGGTTATTCAAGTATCCACTCCATTATTACTTCATACTCCACCTTATCATGAAAAAAGAAGAACAAGACACGCTCCAATGGTGTATTACCCAAGACATATCGCTTTATTGCGACAAGTATTGCACTTACAATGTATAAAATCAAAACAAACCCATAATGCAAGTAATAGTGATCAGCAGGAACCGCTTGGTGCTCTCACCACCTCCGGAACTGTCGGACAGAACGCCGTCACGTCACTTCCATTTCATTTATAAAAACGTGACTTTTTTAAAAGTTAGTTCATTTGTATTCTAATGAATTGTAAAGAATACATCAAACAGAGGAAAGTTGAAGGGAAGATCCAGTTGACTTGAGGGGATCAAGAAGGAATATTTTTTCTACTTCAGTTGAAAAAAACCCTTCTTTGGTAAAATATATGGCTCCAAAAGAGCCTGATCTAGCTAGGTTGAGAAAGTTGATATCGGAGTTACCCAGTTCAAAGGCTGTGGATCCCAATATGAGGGTGAGAAGGGACAGAATCCAGGAGAGATTGTGGGATCAGAAGAATTTTACAAGGCATGAGAGGTATACAGTTTTTGTACACAAACTGTTTTTTGTGAATCTGTTTCTTACCTTGCTAGTAGCAGCAATACCTGTTGACGACAACTAAGCTGCTGCTTGACAGCATTGCTGCTATTTTGTGTGGCAGTGGCTTAGTGGTGTTAGCAGGAACTACTGGCAAGTTCTCCAGGTGAGAAACTTGGCAACAGATTTACAAAAAAAAAAAATGTACTTAAACTGTATACAGTGAGACATTATTAGCTACTAGTAAGTAGTCACATTCAACTAGATTTATTTAGGTAAGTGTGACTAACTACTATTAGCCACAGTATACATTCCTTGGATAAGCCAACATAGCCAACAAAGTGCATTCATTACAAAAAGTCCTATATTACTACACCAACAATCACAAATTATGATAGCTCATGACCAATTTATATATGTGAAAACATATTATTTGAAAAGAAACCAAAATTAAATTTCACCTTTTAAATTAATAAACAATATAGTGTGACCAAAAATTCATAAACTATTTTACATAAAAGTAAAAGGTAAAAAAAAATAACCATAAAAGTCCACGCAGAGACAGGGAGTGTGTTATTTACAGGATCACCAGGTGGAAAGAAACCAAAAAAGCTTCAAGGAAACCTAATGCAGCCACCACATCTAAGGACTCTAAGTTGAAATACATTACATTTACCGTTTTGGGGTTAAATACGCTTTAACCTGATTTCCTAACCCTAGACTTTAAATATAACCTAAAGCTAACCGTCAAGACAGACCGCTAAATACACATACGAAACATACAATGAAGCTGCTTGGATTTGCTCTTCATTTAGTCCTGAGATTAACACAGCTCCCTAATGCAGCCAGGATGGTGACACTGCTTTCTTTGTTAAAATTAAGGGATTCACTGCTGACACCATGCTTCTCGCTGAACTAATTACAAGTTCTAACTGTCTGGCTGTGCAGTGTGGGAAATGTGTGTACCCAGTAAACTGAAACCTAAATGTAATCATTTCACTATGAAAATCATCCTGATGTAGTTTGTAATATTGTAGCATCAATAATGCTGCATTATCCCTCAAACTTACACTTACAGTATACCCCCTTTCCGCCCAGGCCCATTTTTAGCTTTCAGCGCTGTCGCACTTTGAATGACAATTGCGCGGTCATACAACACTGTACCCAAATGTAATTTTTATCATTTTTTTTCAAATAGTGCTTTCTTATGGTGGTATTTACTTGCCACTGGGTGTTTTTATTTTTTGCACTATAAAAAAAAAAAAGCACAAATTTTTGAAAAAAAAGTTTTTTTTTTCTTTGTTTCTATTATAAAATTTTGCAAACAGGTAATTTTTCTCCTTCACTGATGTGCATTGATGAGGATGAAGCCGTGATTTAGCTATCTGTGGTCGGCAAGTGGTTAATCAGCAATTTAGGGCAGCACGCTGGCATAGTGGTTAGCACTTCTGCCTTGCAACACGTGGGACCTCAGTCAGGACACTATATGCATAGAGTTTGCATGTTCTCCTTGTATATGTACGGGTTTCCTCTGGTTACTCCGGTTTCTTTCCACACTCCAGAGACATGCTGGTAGGTTAACTGGCTCCTGTCTAAATAACTAGTATATGTGTGCTAATATGTATGTATTTATGTGAGATTGGAACCTTAAATTGTAAGATCCATGAGGGCAGGGACTGATATAACTGTACAGTACGTAAAGCCCTGCTTAAATTGTCAGCACCATATAAATTCTTGTTAAGTTATGTACAGTGCCTTGAAAAATATTCATACCCCTTGAAATTTTCTACATTTTGTTATGTTACATCAAAAAAGTAAATGTATTTTATTGGGATTTTATGTGAAAGACCAACACAAAGTGGCATCTAATTGTGAAGTAGAAGGAAAATGATAAATAGTTTTCAAAATGTTTTACAAATATCTGAAAAGTGTGGCGTACATTTGTATTCAGCCCCCTTTACTCGGATACCCCTAACTAAAATCTAGTTGAACCAATTGCCTTCAGAAGTCATCTAATTGGTAAATAGAGTCCACCTGTGTGTAATTTAATCTCAGTATAAATACAGCTTTTCTGTGAATCCCTCGAGGTTTGTTAGAGAACATTAGTTAACAAATCGCATCATGAAGGCCAAGGAACATACCAGGCAGGTCAGGGATAAAATTGTGGAGAAGTTTAAAGCCGAATTAGCTTATTAACAAATATCCCAAGCTTTGAACATCTCACAGAGCACTGTTCAATTCATCATCAAAAAATGGAAAGAGTATGGCAAAACTGCAACACTGCAAACCTAAACAGCCCCCACAGCAGTGTGATTACAGTGGCTGTTAACCCTAGTTGCACACATTAACCCTTTGATTGCCTCATGTTAACCCCTTCCTACCCATTGCCCTTAGTACAGTGTCAGTGCTTTTTGTTTTGGAGGCATTGGTGTCACTGGGGATATCAGTGACACCAAGTCAGTTCCTCCCAGTGTCAGAATGTCCGCCGCAGTCCCACTATATGTTGCTGATTGCTGCCATTACTAGCAAAAATGAAAAAAAAAGTATATATACCGCCATTTGTAAACGCTATAACTTTCACGTAAACTAATTAATTTACACATTTTGGGATTTTTTTTTTTCTAGCAAAGACATGGTGCAGAATACATTTTGGCCTAAATTTATAAGGAAATTGGATTTTTTTTTTTTTTTTTTGCTGGACATGTTTATTAGCAAAAAGTTAAAAAAAAATGTTTTTTTTTTTCCTCAAAATTGTCTTTTTTTTGTTTTTTATAGCTTAAAAAAATAAAAAAACCGTGCAGCGTTGCACAACAGGGCAATTGTCAGTTAAAGTAACGCAAAAAAAATGGCCTGATCAGGAAGGGGGGTAAATCCTCAGGAGGGCAAGTGGTTAAAGCTGAAGTATAATTAGATAAATATATTTACTCATGTGCTCACTACATCCAAATAATGAGGATTGCTGCTAATACCTAACTGTGTGACACACCACAGTATAAAAATGAAAGAATAATATATAGTGCAGCTCGAACTCCTCAATATAAACAATGTATGTAGCTGTTACCACAGTCTGCTGCTACAGATCTAAATTGACACAAAACTTGCTAATCCAAAATACAGTAATTACAGTGTTTTGCAACTACAACCCAGTGCTGCAATCAATAATAAAGCAATATACAAAATAAGAGTGTGCAAATAAAACGTACACGATAATATTTTTATTTTCCTGTATCCTAAAAAAATAAATTACAAGTGTCTTCCCACTTAAGAACATCATCTCCATGATACCCATATATTCCCAATGTGAGATAAATAGATATAAACAATCGTGCATACAAATAAAAATGCTCATAAAATAAATGCCCACAAAATGAATACACAGTCTATGTGATAAAACTGAATTGTGGCTGCTGATCTTCAATAAAGACCCATTATCTCAAATAGGTCAAATACACATTATCTGTTATATTCGCAGACCCTGGATGTTTTTCTCTTTCCACCTGTAGACCACTCAAACGGTTATTTTCCAATTCTCAATATGGATCAGTAGGTACTTTGTGTACTCGCTCTTTTGGAGGCAGGCTAGAGAAGGGAGGGAGGAGTCTTCAGTCACAGACAGTGGATGGTGTGCTCACTTATTCGAGAAAGAAGGCTCAGGCATCTGCACCTTCAATTTGCAATATATCTGCCGGCTGCTGAAGTCTAGTTTTTTTGGGGTTACTGCACCAAACACATTTAGTTATGTGTAATGATGTGTGCCCCATTACCTGCAGCCAGCTGCTTCTGCTTAAATTCTTACTTGCCATGCCTCCTCAGAGCTATTGGACACTCTCCTGAGTGAACCGGATGTTTTTTCTGTTGCTTTTTTGAGGCTTGTTTTTTTTTGCCACTAAATGCCCCTGCATGTTAGCCTATGTGTCCATGTGCACATTGGCATTTAGCGTCAGAAGAAAAACTCACTGCCAGGAGCAGCCGAGTTTTGGCAGAAAATTGCATGATGTGTGTAAATACATCTAAACTCATGTAAACGCTAGGCGTGTCAATCGCTTGAGTGTTAATTCATCTCAATGACCAAAATTCTGGCCAATGAAATTAACGTTCAAGCTCATGATGTGCCTAAACATGTGTACACGCCTCAAGAGGTTTTTCTGCAAAATGTGACTTCCAGGAGGATAAGCGTTTAGGGAAGCTTGGCTAAACACACTGTGTACATGAGGCATTAAGGTTACCAGCTTCTACTGCTACTGAAAAAAGTTGCACAGCTCACCTGCCCCCTTTCTGCTATTCACAGAACTCATACTATCATTGTCCCACAGAGCATTGCGTTCTTTGAATCGAGGTGGAACAGTTGAATGACAGAATCTCCCCTGCCCATACAGAATGCAATGCATTGTGGGACAATACAGGTAAGAGTTCTGTAAATGGCAAAGGGATCAAGCGAGCAGTGCAACTTTTCTCAGTAGCAGTGGCTGCTGTTAACCATCACAGCATCAGGAGACAGATGCTCAGGAGGGAAGCAGGAAAGATTTTTACTAGAAACAGCTGCTTGTGAGAAATGAGATACAAACCATTATACATAATTATTGTGTTTGTTGCAGTATATGAAAAAAAAAAAAACCCAAATACTTAACTTCAGCTTTAAATAGTGCTGGCACATGGTAATAATCCTTAAACCATAGAAAGAAAAGAAGTGCCTATCATAAAAGACTAAAAGACACTGGCCTCCAGAACATAATATGAATGGCCTAACAAGCATTAAAGATTGTTCTTGACTAGTGTTTAAGTGAAGTGAGACTGTTTGAAATACCTAATTGCTGTAAATGAAACTCAAAAGGGCATGAGACTAATTTATTTTATTGTCTTTTTATAGGTTATTTCATTGTTTGAACTGACAAGATACTGCATAGGCCTTTGTCTACAAATAGCAACACATCTTCGGATATCTGTGTTCAGAATCCCTCCTATCCCAGCTGCTGAGCAGGTTCAAAATCAAAATCATACTGACTGACTGACTGCTAAAACAAATGGAGGAAAAGAAACAGGGGGGAAAACAATGACATCTATTTATATGGTACCATAAAAATAATAGGACTTAATGAGACCCAATCAATGGTTGTCTAACGAATGGCAGTATGGCATTCCATTTTCTTAATTCAAACGTAACTGAAAAAAGAGCAAGTCCATTGGATACATGTGCACTGTTACAGGGTAAAAATAACTGCTGTTTTTCTCATGCTCATTGCAAGAAGAGATGGGTAATACAGTGCTCTCCTCAAATATATTTTAGTAACCATATACTCTGTCAGTATTGGTTCAATTTTGGTAATGTACTGTACCTGAAGCATCATTTGGTTTCCTGCTGGTTTCCTCCACCTTGTTAATGATTAGCATATTGGGCTTGCCAAAAAAAATAGAGATACCTAACCTACTGAAATAAACACAATTTATTATTATTTCTGTATCTAAATGGATTTGCTTTTTATATTTAATTAATTTCTTTTAATTGTTTAACAATTACAAGTTTCTTCTCCTCCATGAGAGCAGTTCTAAATTTTCTCATCCATAAAAGGAAATTAGTTTTAATTTTTTTATTTATTGCATAATATAAAAAAGAAGTTAACAAGTTTTTAAACGTCTTTTTCAAATTACCATACTTAGGAGCTGAAACATGCTTCTGGACCAATGTGATTTTTTTTTTTTATTTGCTTGCTTGTAATAACTATAACACTGAGTCAGAATCCAGCTATACAGTGTTGTTAAACTGGAAATAATCTTGTGAAGCATCAAGCCATGTGGTATTTGTGCTCTGTGGAGCGGATTCGTTTATTTTTGTTTCGAAAATGAATTAGAATTGATACGGTTTCATTCATTCATGTTTAATAAAATGTTTTATTTTGTACAGGTAACTGTGTTTTGTTTGAAACATAGCATACTGTGAAAAATCTGCAAAAATTATTACACAAAACACATACAAATGGCAAAATACAGTGAAAAAGCTTTAGATTCTCAGGCTTGTTAGGAAAGCACATAGCTGGGCATACAGTGTATGCATGGCTGACAGAGAACACCATACACATTTGTTCATTTTTTGACAGCTGAGATTCCATATGCATTAATACTTTTAAAAAATAACATGGGTTACTTCTACATTCACTGGTATTTTTGGTGTGCTCTGCATTTTCACACATCTAAATTTATATCAATGTATTTGATATGAAAGAACAATGTAAGTAAAGCAGTCATAAACTTAGGTCCATTGTACTCAACCCCACAGGAATTTGGGATGGAGAACAGCTGCAATAGAGTGAACATAAACTTATGCAAAGCAGGTTGTATGGCACTCTGGTTCAGGTCATGTGTCTTGCACCAGCTGTGAATTGTGGGAGCTGGCTATTTTTATGAAGTCAGCACCTTAGTATTCTGCCATGGCAGCTTCAAGTCATGTGACTCCGGTGCAACTCTGCATAGTAACCAATCAGCTTCTAACTACTGCTTGTTCAATTAAGCTCTGTCAGTAACACCTGGGAGCTGATTGGCTTCTATGCAGAGTTGCACCAGATTCTGGTGATTTACTTAATGTTCCTGCAGAGGTGCATTCCCCTTCCTCACGTCACCTGTATATGTACACAGACACAACTTGGTTCACTGCCAATAGTAAGTTTTAGATTACATACTAAACATTGCAAACAAAGCAAAACTGTTTTACATATTACCATTTTATGTTTCTTTTAAACAAACCAAACTTCATTTAACTTTGTAAAATCAGAAGTCAAAATGGGACTTGTATTCTTTTTGGTGGATAATCCTTTAATTATATGTTTAAATAGGTAGAAGTTATTCCTTCAGGGAGCCATCAGAATAACATTGACTGAAGCGACTTTCGAACACTTGCCATCTCTTGCTGTTGCTGACAGAAGAAAAAGAATGAAATAAGTTAAACTATTTTTATATTTATCTCATATATTTTGATAATAAAGCTGAAAGTAAAAAAAAAAAAAAAAACTGTATTGAATGTCTTGCATGACAGTGCAATTACTAGGATTTAACTTACGGTGTCCATAAGAATTTTCTTCTGCAACATAGCCATTTCCTTTCTGAGTTCATTTTGAGCACCAGATAGAAGGTTTTCTTGGTTCTTTTCCAAATCATGCATATTCTACAAATATTAAGATAAAAAAAAAAAATAACCCTTTGAATTCTAAGATGTATTATCTCCCTCCTGTCTTCATATGTATGTTATAGCTATGGAAAACTCCTTAACAAATACAGATGTTTAGTATTAAAATCGGACATCATTTTTATCTTAACTTGTGCAAAAAAAATAGAAAGTTCATTCAGTTTGTGGAAGCTGGTAAAATATTTTATCAGAACTACTGACAGCTGCAACAGCTGCCGATAGTTGTAGGCTAATTCATTCACAGGAAACTGCTTTCAAATTGTGACAGCGGATGAGGGCTGCATAGAAGCATGATACATGTTACACCTTAAATATGGGCGTAACATGTAACGTGCTTTTAAAGGTGAACTTTAAAGTCATATAGCCATGGCAGCCTACAGGATTATTTTAATACCACAAGTGTTAGTAACTTGGGTTACTATAGACGTCACAAAAGCCTTCAATACACTAAAGCCTTCACTACAGCCATGAGCCCTTGTTGTCTACGTTTTAGTAGGCAATCCATTTAGCTATGCAGGAAACCCTGTTTTCAGAACACTATGTGGCCCATAATAATGCACTTTTATGTATCAATAACATTTCCCAGTTTTCTTTAACATTAAAGCGGTAGTAAAACTTCTAAAAAAAAAAAAAAAAAGTGTTTCCCCTGCACGGCAATATCATATTACTTACCTTGCAATGAATCCCACCAGCAGCATACTGTCACTGCTGACAGGGCTTCCATTTTCACCTGGTCTTTCGTCCAGGTTCACGGCAACAGCCAACTGACCTGCTGAGCCGCAATGACGTCACTCCCGAGCATACACGCGGGAGCACCAGGAACATGACAGAGCTCTGAAGGAATGGCACAAAAATGCCGGTAACGTCAGCGGCTGCTGCTAGCTGGAATATCTCCTAAACATGCAAGTTTAGGGGATATCTCAGCATAGAGAGTTTACTACCACTTTAAAGAACATGGGGATCTACTTTTCAATAAATGATACAGGTCATTCATTCTGTTATGGATATAATAAATGTGGTTATTTTTAAATGCTGTACTTTCTAAATCTTTAATAAAATGAATTTACATGTTGGTGACCCAAGTACAGTTGCATTTGTTTATTCCACTTCAGTAACCATGGCTCACACCACCCTTTTTATACGCTAATAATGCTTCCTGGTTGAATGACAAAAACAATGAAAAGTTTTTCAAATGCTTATTTGTTATGAGAAATTCTGCTGATATACATTTTACAAAATAGTTCAGGCTGAAAAATACTGAATAATAACATAGGAATTAACGGAATACATCCTTTGCAAAAGTTGTAGGTCTAGTATTTGGAGATGTTGATTTATAAAATGGGAGAGGGTAACAAACTGCATCTGAGGCTTGGTTCACACCTACGCAGGTTACGGTTAATGTGTTTTCCCATTTCATTTTTCACATGATTCCCATGTTTTTTTAATTTTTAAGGCATTCCCTGTGCTTATACGTCAGTTGCTCCCTCTTCAGGTGAAAGTTAACAGCATCCCTCCATTATGATAATGTAAGGGGGGGGGGGGGGGGGGGGTGAAAGCCATTTTTGTAATCTCCAGGCTCACATTTTAAAGGAGAACTGAAAGTTGGCTCTCAAAAATACAGTCCCATACAAAATAGAAAATAATGTTCCATAAAAATTAGGGAGGAAACATGCTTTCCTTTCCTGAAAATAGTTACTGGTAAGCCTAGATCTGGTTTTTCCCCAGTTGTCTTCCAGGCCAGTCCTCAGGAGGATAAGCAAGAACTTGCCAACCCAGGGGGGGGACCATTGCTTGGAGGACTGTCCTCCCAACTTGGTCTTGGCTAGACAGCAGGTCAAAATGATAATGATGTACAAACGTGGAGAAATTTGCCAGCCTTACAAATCTGAGGTGGCACAAGCCTTCTTTCCCCAAAATGCTCTTGTAGAATGTGCATTCAAAAACTGTGTTGGCTCAGTGTCCATGACCTTGTAAGCCTTCAAAATAGCTAGCCTAATCCAATGAGCCAAAGTAACTTTGGACGATTATTTCCCTCTGTGTTTAGCCACAAAAAGTACAAACAAGGCATATGAAACTTGAAAGTCTTTTGAAGCACTAAGATAGTGTAAGACATCTTCTAACAGGCAAAAGACTGAGCCTTTCTTCCTGTCATTAGCAGGCAGGCTACAGAAAGATGGCAGTACTATGTCTTGTAAATGATGAAAAACAGATGAGACTTTTGGTAGAAAACCAGGGTCTGCTTTCCAAATTACACAGTCTTCTGAATCTCTACGTCTGCGGGCTGCTGTGACGAAATTTTCACCAGAAAAACTTTCTTCAAGGTCAAAAGACATAGAGAAGCTTCTGCTAATGGTTCAAAAGGAGACTTCACCATACACCTTAGGACCAAGGACAAGTCCCAATTAGAACCTTAATCAGCCTTTTTCTCTATACAACCTTGCAGAATCTGGCAATAGGATTTCTGGAGGAAAAGAGAAAGGGCTGCAATCTGGATGTTAAAGAGTACTCACAGCCAGACTCTCTATCTGCCCCATCCTGTAAAAATTCCAGAAAAGTGGGCATACCCTGTAAAAAAATTATATATATATAATTTTCCATAGGCATTAAACTTCTTCCATACCTTTTGGTAGATCACTCTCGTAATCGGTTTGGAACTGTCCAGCAGAGTGCCAACTATGCAAACAACTGACAATCCTGTAGACTTCAGGATTTTCTCCTCCGTAACCGTGTGGCCATTTTTAGTGTGCGTATCTGAGGATGCAAGACTGTACCCTGAGATATCAAATGTCACCCCACTGGAAAAATGTATACAGGAAAAACTGCCAGAGAAC